CCTGCTAATGCATCCCAGAGTGATGTCTGCTTTTTTTGCAATGGTGCCACACTGTTGACTCAGGGTATGTCTACACTGCAAAGTTAATTTGAAATAACACCCATTATTTCGAATTAACTTTAATAGCGTCCATACATGCAAACCGCTAGTTCAAAATTAATTTGAAATAGCAGAGCGCTTAATTCGAATTTGGTAAACCTCATTCTACGAGGAGTAATGCCAAATTTGAAATAGCTATTTCAAATTAAGTGCTGTATAGACACTTAATTCGAAATAGGGGGCCTCCAGCCTTTTCCAGGGAGCCCTGGTGGCCACTCTGGGCACAACCAGGAAAAATTATTCTCCTCTCCCTGAGCCCTGGAGCCATTAAAGGGGTAGACCCTGGCCACAGTGCCTGTGCCAGCTCCAAGACTACCAGCCCAGAGCCAGCAGTGGCCACCGGGACCCCTGACCCAGTGGCCCCAAAACATGAGCCAGCAAGCCACTGACAGCCAGCCCTCCACTGCTCCCCAGGAGCAGTCTGCCAGCTCCCAGGAGCCTGACAAGGGCTGGGGGAGGCAGGCACCTTCCTGGTCCAGGGTGGAGATCATGGACCTTATTCAGGTTTGGGGGGGATGCCCCCCAACATCCATGATCTCTGCACTAGACGGAAGAACGTGGCTGTCTATGGCAGGATAGCTGCCAGCCTGGCCACCAAAGGCCACATGCAAACCCAGGAGCAAGTTTTCCATGAAAATCAAGTAGGTCCAGCGAGACACCCCAACCCTGGGCCCTGAGCTACCCCTCACCCTTCTTCCCCTTGCTTCCCCCTTCTAGCTCCCTCCTCCCAGGTTTTCCCCTCCCCTCTCCCACCCTCTCTTTTCCACCTCCCACTTCCTTTCCCAAGTCTCCCCAGAGGTTCATCCCCCGCATCCAGTTTTGTTCAATAAACCCAGTTTCTATTTTTGAATATACGTGTCTTTTGTTTGACATCAGGAAGGGGGGCTACGGAGGGGTAAGTGGAAGGACGTGAGGGAGGAATGGGGCACAAGCCCCCGGTGGGGAGGACCAGGGTGGCTCTGAGGGCTCCTCGGGGTGGACACTCTCCTGCAGGGCCTCCTGGATCCTGACAGCCCCCTGATGGAGGCTGATGGCAACGACCCCACGAGATGCACCGGCGTGCCCAGGGGCAGCTCTGGCTCCATGTGACTGAGTGCTGTGGTGTCCCGAGTGTGGGCACTCCAAGACAGGACTGCTTTTCTGTCTCTCATGGAAGTAGAGAAGCAAGCAGGGAACCCTGAGAACTGTCTGTCCGGGGTGGGGGTAGGGTCCCTTTAAGCACGGAGCTCAGTTAGCCTCAGGCAGCAGCCCTACACACTAAGTCCTAACCTGATGCCCTGCTGGCACTGGTTCTGGCCAGCCTTAACTTCGGTTCAGGGTCCACTCAGTGTGGACACGCTATTTCAAAATAGTAAAATGCTATTTCGAAATAGATTTTGTGTGTAGATGCGTTAATTCAAATTAGCTTAATTCGAATTAAGATCATTCGAAATAGCGCTGTAGTGTAGACATACCCTTATATTTAGCTTGTGGGGCAGCCCCTAGAATCATAGAATCATAGGACTGGAAGGGACCTCGAGAGGTCATCGAGTCCAGCCCCCCGCCCTCAAGGCAGGACCAAGCTCCGTCTATACCATCCCTGACAGATGTCTATCTAACCTGTTCTTAAATATCTCCAGAGAGGGAGATTCCACCACCTCCCTTGGCAATTTATTCCCTGTTAAGGAGCATTTGTTTGCAAAATAACTAGGCAAGACTATAGGAGCTGGCTTCCCCTGGGTCGCTCAGTCCCCTGCTCTGCCCCCAGCCATGTTCCACTGCACCTCTTTCTCCAAGTCCCCACCCCATCCACTTCTGCCCACTCCCCCCAGTGGCTCCTGCATGCCTTGGAACAGATGATCATGGCAGGCAGGAGATGCTGGAATGAAGGGAAGGAGCTGATTGGAGCTGAGCACACACTAATTATTTTCCATGCCTATGGGACACTGGATGGGAGAAGAAACAGAGGTACAGAGTGGGGAAGCTACTTCCCAAGTTAACATAGCAGGCCAGTGGCAGAGTAAGGAATAGCACCCAGATCTCCTAACTCACAACCTAGTTCCCTACCCATTAGTCCTCACTGCCTCCATATAAAGTAGATTACTGAATTAGGAGAAAATCCTGCACTGACCAAAGAGGGACGCATGAGATGGGAGCTAACAGAACTTTTTCATCTTAAATTCAGTGGGAGACATTTTTCTCTTGGTTCCACTGGAGTCCTCAGAATTCAAGGGGTGAGAAGAATTCAGCTCTGTGGTTCAGTGAGGTACCCACCAGAATTATGGCACACACTGGTCCCAGGAAGCTCCAGTGAAAGCCTTTCTCCAGGTTGAGCCAGCAGCTAGAGGGAGGAGAGATGTAGAGGGACAGTGACATTAGCAAGAATTCTCACTAATTTTGGCTGCCAGGATAGAAAAGCAGATTCACAAGGGAATTGCTCAAAAGCTCTGGAGTGTTCCAGAACCAGATTCTGATTAGAAAGGGAATATATGGAAAGCAGTGTGGTTACTCCTGATTTACACCAGTGTAAAAACTCTAGCACTCAGATACTACAGCACCTGGCATGGACTAAGCATCTATATGGAGAAAGAGAGTAAAGACCGGAGTCTGGACAGCTATGTCCCATGTTGCTCTGAGATGATGCATCCCATTGTACGGAAGTTCAGGATCGTGGCTAATGGGGGCACTGAGGGGGTTGGCAGATTTGAGGGGGATCCTCAGGACTTTGTACAAAGCATTGAGGTCATTTTCCTATACCACAAAAAACAGCCAGGGATCTGGAGTCAAGCTGGTTTATGCCTTCACCCTCATCATCACAGTGACTCTGAGGACTGGGAGGCGAATTACCAGTGTGTACTTTAACTGCACTTCTTGGAAACTCAGTGATACTGATGATGGGGGAAAGGTCCCAGCTTTGGCAGTTAAAATTGCAGGTGGGGTTACTAGTGAATCAGCCAAACTCAAACTTGGTGTTACCCAGTATGGGGGGGTGGGGGTCACATCCTGATTCCTCTTTGGGGTAGACCCAGCACTTACTGTTTAGTACTTCCATAGCCATCAGAATTCACTGCAGCAGAAATAGCCACGATAAGGGCTGGGAATCCATAGCCGAACGGGTACATGTATCTCTTCTTGAACCGGCTGGCGCTGGTGTAATTCACCACTTTCAGGTTCCTGACAGTGAGGAAGAGGTGCAGCCCCTCCAGGAACATCCAGGTGAAGCAGGCCAGGAAGAGGTAGTGTAGGAGGCCAGCAGTGACCGCACAAGCCACCTGGGGGAAGGAAATACTGTATTTGGAGGGATGGGGAGCTTTTGTGAGGCTCACTTAGGGCTTTTGGTTAACACATCCCTCTGGTTACAGAGGTCTCCCAGAGACAATATGTTCTTCAGTCTACAGGGGACTTGTTGAAAGGTAGGTTGGCTGTCCCTTTCAATCGTAAGAGTCCAGACCCATCCTGATCTCCACCCAGAAAAGATGGATTCTGGGAGTGGTCATTCCCAAATAAACCATGGACATTGTTGGATACTGTCAGGAATTGTAGGAAAGGGAGCAGGAAGTTAAAACTGGATTCTGGGAGTGGTCATTCCCAAATGAACCACGGACATTGTTGGATACTGTCAGGAACTTTAGGAAAGGGAGCAGGAAGTTAAAAAAAGTTCCCAATGCTCATAATAGGGAGAGACCTGAAGGGTGTAGCTTCTCTGCTCTATACCTCTATTCAGGGTAAAGGTGTCTTGCATCTGCCCATCCATGTGGGGACAGAGCACCCAGGCAGGGGACTGACTCTGGCAATAGGGGTTCTTTTGTCTGAATGCTGAAGGATTGAGCCCACCAGGAAAAGGGAAAAACTGGTTTCACCCACAGAAATTTCTTTTGCAGGGAAGTAAATAATTATTTCGGAGTGACTAGACAGCATGGAAAATATGGTTATTTACCATCGTGTAACTATGTTCTTTGAGATGTGTTGCTCATGCCCATTCCATGTAGGTGTGTGCACGCCGCATGCATGGATTGCCGGAAGGTTTTTCCCTCAACGGTACCCATTGGGCTGGCGGAGAAGCCCCCAGGAGTGGTGCCTGCATATACACACATATATACCTCTGCCGGCCTGCCACCCCCTCAGTTCCTTCTTGCCATAAATCTCTGATGAAGGGGAGGTGGGTGGGATTTGGAATGGACGTGAGCAACACTTCTCGAAGAACAACAGTTACGAGAGAAGGTAAGTAACCGTTTCTTCTTCAGGTAATTGCTCATGTCCATTCCATGAAGGTGATTCCAAAGCTGAACGTTTGGAGGTGCGGTCGGAGCCTGCCTAGAGATCAATTGCAATACGGTTCTTCCAAAAGTTGCACCATCTCTGGCCACTCTGGCCTGTAGTGGTTAGCACAAGCATGAACTATCAGTTGCAATACGGTTCTTCCAAAAGTTGCATCATCTCTGGCCTGCTGTGCTATGGCGTAGTGGTTAGCACAAGCATGAACTGAAGACCAGGTGGCTGCCCTGCAAATATCCAGGATGGCGGCTGTAATGGCTACCAAAAGGAGACCTTCCATGAGAGGTGTAATAATGAGCACATTGTCAGTGGCTCAAAGGTGGGAACTGTGAGCTTCGCAAGGAGCAGGCTGAGGTCCCAGGGCAGAAGAGGTTGGTGCACATGCAGGTATAGTCTGTCCATCCCCTTCAGAAAACAGTGAACCAGGGGATTTGCAAAAACCGACTCCCTGGAAATTGGAGTGGAATGTGGAGATGGCTGCTAGGTGCACCCTGACTGATGATGAAGACAGCCCCTGAGTCCTATGGTCTAAAAGATAGTCAAGGACATAAGGAATAGGGGGGACGCCCCACTGGCCCACCCACATGGAGCATCATTCCCATTTAGTCATGTATGCAGCTCTGGTAGAGGGTTTTCTACTTCCCAATGGAACCCTCTGAACCTGCTCCAAGTGCTGCCATTCTAAACCTGTCAACCAGGGGGCTTCCAGGCCAGGCATCTACGAAGCACGCCACGGTCTTGCGTTGTCAGGTCTGGGTACAAGGGCAGAGCTATTTGTCGATCTACTGACAGACTGAGGAGGGACGCAAACCAACCTTGCCAGGGCCAAGCCGGCGCTTCTAGAATCAAGGAGGACCTGAACGCCCTCGCTCTCAGGATCACCCTCTGGATCAGGGGAAGGGAGGGAAAGTACACAGGAGGACAGAGGGCCAGGGAATGAGGAGAGGGTGCCCCAGAGGCCCCAAGATGTGGTTCATGAAGGAGCAAAACTGGGGACACTTCCTGTTGCTGCGGGTTGCGAAAAGGCCTACGTGAGGAAAGCCTCACCTGTGGAAAATGCTTAAGGCCACATCCACTCTGTGAGACCACTCAAGCTCCATGTCCGATCTGCTGAGCTGGTCTGCGAGGGAACCCTGAGACCCCAGAAGGTAAGATGCCATGAGGTGAATGGCGTGCACTATGCAGAAGTCCCCTCGGAGGAGGCCTTCCTGGCACAGGGGAAAGGAACGAGCTCCACCCTGTCTGTTGATATAAAATATGGCTGCAGTGTTGTTGGACAGGACCAGAACTCGCTTGTTTCACCACTGGGGCAGGAACATCCAACAAACCAGACAAATCACCTCAGCTCCCTGACATTTATGTGCAGGAAAAGTTCCAAGGGGGGCCACGTACCTTGCACCCTCAGGTCCCTGATGTGGGTTCCCCATCTTATGTTGGAGGCATCCGTCACGGATCGGACCAACAGCAGGGGCCTGGTGAATGGGACTCTGGCGCAGACCGCCTCCTCCTGGAGCTGCCAGTTGACAGAGCTCACTCATGACATCCACAGGGACAGTCACCACTATGTCCATGGGCTGGCAGGCTGGTTTGTGCACTCAGTCCAGTCACAGCTGCAGAGGGAGAAGTCTGAGTCTGGCAGGCTGCACTAAGTATATGCACACTGCCATGAAGCCTAGAAGCCTCATGAAGTTTCTGGTGGTGGTAACTGGTGACAGGCGAAGACGTAGAGTGGTTTCTCATATGGAGTCAGTGGAATCAAGGTGAAGGTTTGCTACAAAGACATGGTGATCTTGCCATCAGCTTACTGAGGGGCAGTGCTACCCCGAATAGGGCCTCAACATTAAGGATGTCCACTGTAGGGTCAGATTACTTGGAGACCTGTTCTGCCTTAACCCCCAGACTCTGGCCCAAGTGCTTCAAGAGCTTCTGGTGGGTCCAGAAGTCCATGGAGGGCATGGATGGTGTCGTCCCAGCCAATGCCTCCCCAGGGGATGAGGAGGAGGATTCTTGAAGCGTCTACTCCTCCAGCTCCTGGCACTCCAAGTCCTGAGAGGCCAATGTCCTGACTCTTCTGAGGGGTTGGGTCCATTACACCATGTCTCCAGTCCGAAGATAGGTTGCAAATGGGGGTCCTGAGGACCTGAATAGGCAGAGATCAGACAAGAGGGTCCCTGGACCTGGTGATCCACCCAGGGGGGCCAGAAAGGCCTCTGGACTGGGGGCTATCACTGGGGAGGCCAGGATGGCTGGAAAGGCTGGGCTGAAGTGCTCTGGTGCCAGGAGCAGTGCCAGGAGAAGGAGCGGTGCCAGGAGTGACCCTGCAGATGGCTGACTCGGCGTCCGAGTTAGAGGAGTACTCTGAGATGGACCACGGTGGTGTGGAGGTGGTCAGAGCTGGAAAGGGGTACCAGAGAGCCTGCCTGTCCGTAGCCTTGAGCTTGCCTTGGGCCAGGGAGGAGGCCTAATGTGCCCTGGAGTGACCTTTGACGACTGCACGGTGGAAGTAATTGGTATGGCATTCAGCAGCAGCAGTCACTGCCATGAAACGTGGCAACAGAAATGGTGCTGGTGCCACTGCTGGAGGAGTCGGTGCCAAAGTCCCCTCAGGGCCCGACTGGCTTCTGTCCACCAGGGCCTTGGTACAGGGAGGCACACAAGGGTCCTGATGGTGCCCCAGGCTTGAAGAAGAGGCTGGGAAGGAAGTCAGTTCAAAGAGCTCCCCAGCCACCTTGAATGTATCCGAGGTCAAAGGCCAGCTCATCCTCTGGGCTTGGGTCCCACGTGGGGCTCAACTGGTGCCGGGAGGGCACAGGAGCTGAGGATCTGGGGACACACTCTAGGTGCATGCTGCAATGGAGACCTACCCCTGCAGGACCTCCATTTCTTCTGTGGCACTGGGGATTATGAACGGTGCCGAGCAGCAGAGCATCGTGGCACTGGAGAGGCCCTGGACAGCCCTGGGATCTCCCGTATCGCTGCTGGCACACTCTGAGTAGCCGGTGCCGAGTCACAGCCTGTGCCGGGTGAAGCGCAGACTCCATCGGGCGAA